ATGTCCTCAGATAACAGACTAAACACATGTGAAACCAACCCCTTACCCTACCATCTTTTCCCCAAACAGAAAAATAAGGGAAGGAACATAAAGGTATGGAAAATGATATAATCACCTTTATAACTTTTCTCACATACATGGCCATGCTCTGAAAGAGGAGAGGGAAAGGTCCATTGATTAGAAAGGGTGAGGTCTCCAGAGAAGAAAAAAAAAGCATATGGAAAACCATAGAGATAAATGAGGGTAGAGAGAATGCTGAAGTTTGTGGTTGAATAGCAATTCAGGTCCATATGTGAATACAGAACACATAGTGCATTTTACAGGCTTGAAACTTGCATAAGGACAAGACCCTGCACCATATATCCAGAGTGAAAGTCTGTAGCTGGGAGCAGGATCCAGAAAAATGCCAACGGTTTGTGAAAGGAGTAGGTAGACAGAATGATCCTTAAGAAGATAGTTCTCATTATTTAATAATAAAACACCTGAAATGGCTTATGTTGTTATTTACTTCTTTTGGTTTGTCTTATTAATATTTAAGCATTGTCAGTGGACTAAGTACATCAATTCAGGTTGAGGAGAATGAAGAGAATAGAAATTTGGAAAGCGTGCCAAAAAAAAGAAAAAAAAAGAAAAAAAAGGCACACAGTGATTATAGAGTTCAGCCTAATAATCTTCTGTGAGTTTTGACAAATGTCTAATCATGTAACCACCACTGCAATCAGGATGCAGGGCAGTTCTATTACCCCAAATCATTCCTTCATGCTGGCCTTTTGTAGTCAACCTCTCCCCCATTTTGAATCCCAGGGAACTACTAATCTGTTCTTTGCCCCTATAGTTTTACATTTTATGGAATGTTGTATAAATGGCATCATGTAATATGTATCCTTTTGAATCTGGCATTTTTACTTAACATTTTGTATTTGAAAAGCATGGATGATGTTGCATATACGGAAAGTTTGTTCTTTCTTATTGCTGACTAGTATTCTGTTTCATGGGTGTACCAGTTTGTGTTTATCTCTTCATCTGTTGAAGAGCATTCATCCAGATGGCTTTCAGTTTTGACAATTAATATAGAACTGCTGTAACTATTTGCACACAGGAGTAAGATTACTAGGTCACTTGTGAAATGTATGTTAACTTTATAAGAAATGGTCCAACTGTTGTCTAAATGGCTGAAAATTTGTATCCCCATCTGTAGTAAGTAGGATTTTCAGTTGCTCTGCATCCTCATCAGCATTTGGAATTGGCAGTTGTTTTTTTTTTTTTGTTTTGTTTTGTTTTTGATGTTTTTATTTTAGCTTTTCTAATGGGTATGTAGTGGGATCTCATTTTAGTTTTTAATTTGATTTCCCATGATGACTAATGATGTTTTGTGTCACTTCAAGTGCTTATTTATCATTTGTCCATCTACATTGGCTAAGTGTTCACATTATTTGCCTATTTTTATGGGGTTTGTTGAGTTTTGAGAATTCATTATACATTTTTATATTCTGGATACCTGTCCATTATCAGATATGTGATTTGCAAATATCTTCTCCCAATCTGTGGTTTGTCTTTTTACTCTCTTAATAGTGTTTTTCATGGAACATAAGTTTTAAATTTTGTTGAGGTCCCATTATCAGTATTTTGTTTTATTGCTTGTGCTTGTAGGTTTGTGTCAATGTCTTTGCCTAACTCAAAGTCACAGAGAATTTCTCTTATGTTTTCTTCTCCTAGTTTTATAGTTCTACATTTTACATTTAAGTCTGTGACCCATTTTGAGTTAATTTTTATGGAAGGTGTAAAGTATGGGTGACTTTATTTATTTATTTATTACATATGGATGTTCCTGTTAATCCATATTATTTGTTAAAAATAGTATGCTTTCTCCAATGTATTGCCTTTGCATCCTTGTGAGAATGAATGTGTGGGTTTATTTTTAGATTCTTCTATTTCATGATCTGTGTTTCTATCAATACCATAGTACCACCCTTAGTTTGCTTAATAGTAAGGCTTTAAATCAGATAGTAAGTTCTCCAAGTTTATTCTTTTCTTTCAAAATTGTTTCATCTATTCTCATTTCTTTGCTCCCTGTATAAATTTTAGAATCAGCTTGTGCATAGCTATAAAAATCCTGTGCATATATTGGTTGGGATTGAATTTTATCTATAATCAATTTGGTGGGATTGACATCTTAACAGTACGTTTCAAATCTAGGAACATGGTATATCTCTCCATTTATTTGTGTTTTGGGCTGTGTGTGTGTGTGTGTGTGTGTGTGTGTGTGTGTGTATGTGTGTGTTTAATGAGATAAAAGGGAGGAAAAAATAAACAACAAACTCACCATGGGAATGGTCTTTCTTCACATTTTGATTCCCTTCGCAATCTGCATACTCTTCTTACTTTGCATGGTACTTTGGTAGTTTTGTTTATTTATCTTTATTCTTTCCATTATATTTAGTTGTGATTAGTGGGAGAGAGAGCCTGTCATGGGGTTTCTGTATGTTGTTCAGCATTCAAAGTCAGTTGGTTTTAGTTGTGGTTATCTAAATCCTTCTTGCATGGTGATGGAATGGATTGAGGAACATCCAGAAGTGGTTTGTTTGTTTTTGTTTGTGTGTGTGTGTGTGTGTGTGTGTGTGTGTTTTAATTTTTTCAGTTCCAGGGGTGCCTGGGTGGCTCAGTCGGTTAAGTGTCAGACTTTGGCTCAAGTCATGATCTACCGTTTTGGGGTTTGAGCCCCGTGTTGGGCTTTGTTCTGACAACTCAGAGCCTGGAGCCTGCTTCGGATTCTGTGTCTCCTTCTCTCTCTGCCCCTCCCCCACTTGTGCTCTGTCTCTGTCTTTCAAAAGTAAATAAATGTAAAAAAAATTTAATTATTTTTTGGTTTGAATAAACCAATTGCGAGACAATTTTCAAAACATAGGGTTGTTAAATGTAAAGGATACACTTTTTATGTGAAAGTTCGAAGGATTTATCTTGGGTAGATAAAGGTTTAGGAGAGAGGGTGGAGCAGACTACTCTTTCTTCTTAAGCCCAATAATATTTATTTAGATTCAGGAGTTTCTTCTATTCTTGACAGTGCTATGATGTGTCATTTAAAAATAAATGAAATGAAAATTGGTGCGACAATTAGCAGAGTTATTAGGGTCCGTCTGGTGCATTTCTTAGCAGGCTTTGCCTTGCTGACAAATAACAGGAATTAGCACATGACACTGGATTTCACAGTAGTACCATTTATTTAGCCCAAAAGAGAATACAGTTTCTGTGTCCAAACGCATCTCAGCTGACGGAGCACTTTCCAGACAGCATTATCTCCCCTAAATCTCAATGAGGTTTATTATGAAAGAAGCATAAATAGCTTTATCTTCTAATAGAGATAATTATAAAATACTCAATTTTATCTCCAAGAATTGGAAATCACAAAATGTGACCTCTTAAGCACCATATAAATTGCCTATTTTATTTCCTATTTTTAAGGCTATAACACAGAGTCATGCAAAAAGTGTATCTATTCCTTTTCATATTTTCTAGTTATGTAATTCATAAGTCTACAAGGTTGCTTTTACTATAAATCAAGAAGCTATTTTAGAGATCCTCATTCTATTTTTTTTTTACAAAAGCAGAGTGCTTCAGAGCAGTTCAGATCACTGACTAAAGTGATCCACTAAAGGAAATTTAATCTACAATTATTTGATATAACTTGAGGATATTAATGTTTCTTTTGTTAGAATAGAAGGTTGGTTCTACACTTCTCATTCAGAAGTTAGCCCTATACTGACTTCTGAAGAAGATCAAAATTTGTATATTTGTGAAACAAGGAAAGATGTTTAATTTTTTTGCAGAAGGATTATACTTTTCCCATTAAAACTTTTCAGGTGTTTTTAGCAGATAATATCTTACAAGCTGTATTTCTAAATTATATAACCAAATTAGGATGTATAAATATCAATGAGGGTTGGAAGAATTCAGGGACTTCACAGAGATTTTATTGTGTATCTCATCCACAAAAGTATGTAAACGTGCAGAAATCCAGTAGGTGTACCTTATTGGATATTCATTCATTCAATCATTTGTTCATTCATTCACCATTTGTGCCTTAGGACTGTGCTAGTTTTCAGGTTGCAGAAATGATTAATACATGATTCTGTTTTTTTTTTTTTTTCAAAAGCCCTCAAGTAGGGCACTGTGAAATGATTTTAAAATAAATTGGTAATTATCTTTTCCAATGAATATTTGGTCTTTCATTAAATCATTCAAATGAGGGTGAGAGAGCAATTACATAGTGCCCATAGGCATCTAATGGATAAAACATGCACAATACATAGTAAATGCTTTATTCATAATATATAGCTATTTGTAGTTTACAAATTGCATTTGAGTTATACATTTAGTTGTCATAATCTGTGTAGATCAGGTATGTATTGAAAGCCCCATTTATAGTTAAGGGAACTTAAGCAAAAAAGAAGTTGTGTAAATTTACATGCTAGAAACAATTGAGAAATACAGGAGCTGAGACTCCAAGACCAGTTGCTCACTTTATAGCAACCCATTGTTTCTCAAAAGCTAAGAGCCTGGCCTGATAATTTAGTATCCTGCAATTAAAATCCTCTTGAAATACTGACTGAGTTAATATTGTTTAGATTACTGAGAAGCTACACAAATCTCAGTGTAAACGTCGCCTCTCCTGGGAAATTCACCCTGATTAAATGGGTTAGGATTCTCATTGACAAACTAAGGAATTATTCCTTACCATCTTTCTTCCTGGGTAAAATATAATAATAAATTTTGCCAAGATAGGCTCTCTTCACTTCTGTATTTACAGTGCCTGCTACAGTGCCTGATACATAGCAAGTTTCAGTAAGAATGGGTTTAAGAAATTAATATTTGCCTATATATGAATAGTATATGTTTCTGGGGTTTGGCTGTATATATTTTCTTTTCTTATGAATACTAAAGTGTTTGCCTAACTCCCAAGTCCATTTGGGTACAAAATAACCATTTTCTTCTCACATTCACAGGATTATACCTTGACAATGTACTTTCAGCAAGCCTGGAGAGATAAGAGACTGTCCTATAATGTAATACCTTTAAACTTGACTCTGGACAATAGAGTGGCAGACCAGCTCTGGGTGCCCGATACCTACTTTCTGAATGATAAGAAGTCATTTGTGCATGGAGTGACTGTCAAGAACCGCATGATCCGCCTGCATCCAGATGGGACCGTTCTTTATGGCCTCAGGTCTGTAGTGTCCATTTCAAAATTGAACTTTTTCTGAATGAAATCGTTATTGATTTTTATTGGAGGGGAATATTGTGATGTTTTCCTTATTCCTCCTTCGGTTCTGTGATAAGCAGTTAAATCTCCTATCCAGTAGACATCTGAGAGTTTAGGAGAGCATGTATACAAAGGGACTTAGTCCTAGCTAAAAATAATTTTTTCTGAATTATCTTCTAACATCAGCTGCTGATCCTAAAGCTGCTTTCTTTAAGGAGTAAGGATAAACAATCAAAATAGCTGGGCTATAGTGCTTAATTAGAATGGAAACAAATTATGAATGCTGAATACTTGTTTGAGCATGGCAGATTTCTGTTTCATAAATTTCTCCTAAGCTGTGTGAATTGGGTCTGGTTCTCTGGTGACAGGAAGGCTTTTTGTGCCCTCTCTCCCTCCAAGGAGTAATCAGACTTGCAAATAAATAAAGTTGTTATCTCATGTTTACTAATAATGAACTTTCATGTCAGTAAAGAGTTGTGGTGCTCTGCTCTTAAGGTGAGGATGGATTGCAAAGTAAAAGTTTCTTCTTTTAAAGTTTATTTTTGTATTAAAAGCAATAGATGGTTTCCTGAAAGAAAAGGGAGAAAAAAGATATCTATCTTACCCTGAAAAATTACATTATTACAATATAAAGGGTTTCTTTGCATTATTGGGAAGAAGCTCTTAATTCTTAAATGTTACATTTTCTCTGACTTATTATTACATAAATGTGTGGTTACCCTATCATAATTATGATGGTAGCAACAATGGTATTATTCATTTATTAGGGGTTAGTGGTCAGATATTGAGTTAAATCATCAATGCTTTCCATGCATTGTTATAGTTAATCTGTACAACAACTTCATGAGTTAGAAACTGTTACAATTTTTATTTTCAAATGAGGAAACTGAGGCTGATACAACTTGCCTAAAATCACAAAGAAAGTAAGCTATGAAGATGAGATTTGAACTCAGATCCAAGTTCTGAGTCACAGCTCTTAATCACTACGTGGGGATACTTCTCACTCCCACATTTTTCTTATTTATTATGTCTTGTTTTCATTATCTGGTATATTCTGACAGTCACATTGTTTAGGTGCTTATGTTTATTTTTGACAGAGAGAGCGCGAGCGAGCATGAGCGGGGGAGGGGTAGAGAGAGAGGGAGACAACAGAATCAGAAGCAGGCTCCAGGCTCTGAGCTGTCAGCACAGAGCCTGATGCAGGGCTCGAGCTCACCGCGAGATCATGACCTGAGCCGAAGTCGGATGCTCAACCGACCGAGCCACCCAGGTGCCCCTGTTTAGGTGCTTATGAACCAGCTTCTTTGTTGATCATATTTTTTAGAGAAAGTAGCATTTGGCTACCAAGGGAGAGTGGGTAAGGGTGAGGAACAGAGGTAGCATGATTGTGCTCTGTGTCAGCCATTAGAGGTAAGAAGATGGACTGGATATGGGCAGTGTTTACATGCGTGTCTTAGAAAATAGAGAAATGCCAAAGAGATAAATTGACTGGCAGTGTCTGCAAAGATTCCACCAAGGTGGTGGGCTTTGAAAGTGCTAATGGAAAGAACTGTGTTATCAGTTATATTTTGCTAAATTTACCACTTGGAATGAACAATAAAACATTTGGTGTGGGATGCTTGGGTGGTTCAGTTGGTTAAGTGTCCAACTTTTGGTTTTGGGTCAGCTCATGATCTCATGGTTTGTGGGTTTGAGTCCCCCCCTGGAGCTCTTGCTGCCAGTGTGGAGCCTGCTTGGGATTCTCTCCCTCTCTCTCTCTCTCTCTCTCTCTCTCTCTCTCTCTGCTCCGCCCCTGTTCACTTTCTCGCTCTCTCTCGCTCTCTGTCAAAATAAATAAATAAACTTAAAAAAAATTAGGTGTCACAAAGACTTTGATGAGAGGGTGACCATGCAGGCTGTGGGGAAGATGGGGGATGAAAAGAGGTTTCAGTTTCCACTTTTTAAGAGTTAAGCACAGAGTGTGGTCAGAATCCTGAAGAAGGAACAAGGAGCCATAGAAATAACGTTATCCACTCAGCAGTAAATGAGGGGGAGGACTGGCAAGTGTCAAGTTCTGGCAAAGCACCAGACCTAGTGCTGGAGGCATTTGCCCAGCAAATCACTTAATTTGCACAGCAATCATGCAGAAATTACCCTGAGCTCTTCCTATTTCCTTGCAACACCCACCTTGAAAGCAGAGAACAAGTTGTATTCTCCTTTTATATCCAACACTGACAAAGTGCCTACAACCATAAATATGCTCAATAAAGGTTGTCAATTCTGAATTCACATGCAAAGTTGAATGGATGGGAAAATCAACAATCAAGATGTCTTTGGAATTGAGAAGGAAAAGAGAGGACCAATGTAGATGATAAATAAGGCTTCTTTATATCATTATATACTCAGACAAAAACATTGATGACTGCTCAGTCTTATCATTGAGACCAACTATATGACATTGCTGTAACTCAAACTCACAACAATAGAAAATCATCATTCTCTTATCCCCTCTTCTAACAAGGGGTGTCGAACACGTCTGACATGCGTGAAATTAACACTACTAGACAGAGAAGGCACATGAATTGTAATTGTTCCAGCAGTTGTATTGTTAATTCTGATTTTGAAATGGATAACAAGTTTTTCAAGAAATTTACAAGTATCCTAGTCCACTTTTTACCGATAAATAATAGAATGATTTATTTCATGGCAAGAAGCTTAATGCAGACCACATACTCCCTTCTCAACTCCAGGAGGTTCATTTGCAATATATAAGTAAAAGGAATTCAATTAAAATTACCATGGTAGGGTTGATTCCACTCTACATAGTCACTTTTCCTATTTACCCAAAAACTCCCCTCCCATTGAGATCCATACACATTGGCAGGGACAAGGAAGGTAGAGAGAACATTCAGAGGATCTGAGTAAATTTCTTTCTGTAGGATTTTCTTTAGTGAAATGTTCAAGCATTAAAACATAGAAAGGAGAAAGTAGTATGCAAAATATTAATGCTTGTTTAATTTTATCATTGTTATATAGGATTTCATTGTGCCGGTCTTTCAATTTTTCTGTAGGTTTGAAAATTTTTATGATAAAATTTGGAAAAGGAAAAATGTTATGTGTCAGAGACCTAGGAATATCTGGTTCTAATATGCAGGAAATATCATTTAAGATTTAAAAGTCTGTAGCCAAGAAATGCTATTTTGATCTCTTGGAGGTAGGGAATCATCTATATATGTTATTTACTTTCAGGAGCTCTGTCTGAAAATGAGATCAGCACATCTCAAAGGTTATGTGACTCAGAGGGTGGGATCCTTGACCATAGACAACCAGGTTAAGCCATAACCCAGGAAGGAGTGGTCAAAACTCTTCAGTTAAAACCTTGATGACCTCCTTATGAAATCAGTTGTCCTTCTGCATGAGTGGCCCTTTGCATCTGATTGTACACAGCAGGAACTCTGAGTGCACTCATACTGATACGTTATGTTTGGAGATCAGGAGCTTTGAGGATAGCGCACTAGCTACTCAGCAGGCTTGCATTAAGATACAGTGGCTTTGAGGAACCACATACATAAATGGATGTAAGTGGGCAATGCAACCAACTTCCTTAACAGAGTGTAACGATAATGAAACTTAGGTTTTAGTTTGGGCTTTTATAATAAACTTCTCTTTGAACCTTGAGTGCCTTATCCAGGTTTTAATTTCCTCATAGATAAAACAGAGGGGGTAAATTAGATGATACCAGTATGCTATGGTTTTTATAACCTGTCATCCTCTGAATCAATAATTAATGAATCTAAAAGAATATATAATCTAACATCAGAGTAGAAAATGAAATTATATATTTGGAGTAGCATAGTAACTGGTAGATAATAAGTGTTCAGTGCTACTATTTAATGAATAAATTAATGTAGGGATATTTGAAGGCTGGCACAAGGAAGGCTTCGCATATCAAAGCCATTGTTTTATATTATAGAATTATACCCCAGTTGTCTTTTCACAATTCAGCAAAGTAGGACACCAGGTCCATGGTGTAGAATGAGAAAAGTGTCAGAGAGCAAGTGGACTGAAGACAATGGGGAAGGTCTATCCCAGCAGATCTAGAGTGAAAAAGGGAACCACTAAAAAAAATGTATAGTGGAGCCAGTTAACTCCAGCCATTGCATTTGGCAGCGTGAGATCTGGAGCAAGGAAAGTGGATGCCTGGCTTGAGACCCAAATGGCAAGGCAGACTTTAAAAGCTGCCCTGTGGGTACCTGGGTGGCACAGTTGGTTAAGCCTCTGACTCTTGATCTTGGCTCGGGTCATGATTTTGCAGTTTGTGAGTTTGAGCCCTGCTTCAGGCTCTGCACTGATGGTGCGGAGCCTGCTTGGGATTCTGTCTCTCCTTCTCTCTACCCCTTACCCACTTGTTCTCTCTCTCTCTCTCTCTGTCTGTCTCTCTCAAAATAAATAAACATAAAAAAATGAATGAATAAATAAATAAAAACTGCTCTGTAGCCCCAGCCCAGTGCCTCATTTGTTGCATGCACTCAGTAACTTTCATTTAATTAGACGTTGTGCAGTTTCTTTTAAAAAGTCTTTCCTTTTCTTCCCCTGATGTCCTATCATGTGTGTCTATTTTCTCAACTTATTTAACAGTCTATGGGATACAGGAATGATTAACAAAAGTTATAAATAGTGCCTTTTTGAAACTTAAATTTATAGTTTGTGGCTAAAGAATAATGAAACCTTTGAATATAGATTCTCACCTTCACTCTTGACTGGTTGATAGCTCAATTTCACCAATTTGATTATAAAATCAGATTCCTCTTGTCTTTAACAATGCTATTTAGAGATTTCTGTCAGGAGATATATATTCCTCTGTCAGGAGGAAGAATATTTTCTCAGGACTAACCCAGCTGGATAATTTGTGACAAATGAGTTTCTAGTTGATGAAGCCGAAGAATTCCTAGCAATTTACAAAGGAAATATTTCAAACAGAGTAA